TATATCAACAATGTAATTTATTTTAAGGGGATTTTGTATGGGAGCTATACCCACCTTAAAGTGTACTAATCGTGTACTAATAAATTTCTGAGTTGATTTAGCTATGTCCCTCCATCTGTCTGTCTGTATGTTTGTCTGTCCGTCCATGTAAACCTTGTAATCAAACTGCAGGTCGTAATTTTGAAGATTATTCAATGAAATTTGGTACATGATTTTCTATTATATCAAGGACGAAGCCTATTGAAAATGGTTATGATCGGTCCATTATTTTACCTAGCCCCCATACAACTTAACCCTCGAATAGGGCTTGTAAACCTTGTAATCAAACTACAGGTCGCAATTTTGAAGATAATTCTATGAAATTTGTCACATGATCTTGTATGATACTAGAGACAAGGCCTGTTGAAAATAGTTAACATTGGTTCATTATTTCACCTAGCCCCCATGCAATGGAATCCCCGAATAGGGTTCATAGTTATGTTTAATATACTCGTATCTCAACAAAAAGCTGCAAAACTAGGTTCTATGCTAGCCTTGATGATCCTCATGAATATTATAATTATAGGGCCTAATTTGACTCTATCCTCTATACAAAGCCCCTTTCAACAACAAATTACTTAAATTCTTTATTGTTACGCTAAATCACATTTTATTTTTATACCCACCATCAAAAAAGATTGGGGGTATATTGATTTTGTCATTCCGTTTGTAACACATCAAAGTCATTGGTCATAGACCCACAAAATAAATATATTCTGGGTCCTCATTAAATTCTAAGACGATCTAGCCATGTCTGTCCGTCCGTCTGTCTGTTGAAAGCACGATAGAGTCCGAATGGAAAGAGCTAGAGGCTTGAAATTTCACATAAATATTTCTTGTAGGTAAGGTTTGTTTGGTATTGAAAATGAGCAATATCGGTCCACGTTTTAGGATAGCCCCCATATAAGTGGCCCCTCGAAAAGCAGCTTCAACAGCCATAACTTGTTTAAGAATACGAATATAGCGATGAAATTCGACATAAGTAAGTTTCTTATGATCCAAAATCACTATGCAAAATTTTATGAGGATCGGTCCATAATTGACCCTACCCCCCATATAAGGTCCCCTTCAGAAAATGACTTTAACGCTCATTACTGGCTTGAAAATACTAGTATATCGATGAAATTCGACATAAGTAAGTTTCATATGAGTCAAAATCTATCTAAAAAATTTTATGAAGATCGGTCCATGATTGACCCTACCCCCCATATAAGGTCCCCTTCAGAAAATTACTTTAACGCTTATAACTGGCCTAAATATACGAGTATAAAGATGAAATTCGACATAAGTAAGTTTCATTCGAGTCAAACGAGGTTTGATGGTGCGTATATAAGATTCGGCATAGCCGAATATAACACTCTTACTTTTTATAACTGGTGTTGGTTATTGTATGGTCAGCCTCGACCGACTATAATTTCTTAATTGTTTTTGATTACAGCGTTAATTCTTACTTTTGTACCTTTCTGAACCACTGTATTTAATGAATTTGTGCAATAAATTGAAAACTTTAAACCCAAAACTATTTTACATTATTATCTACTAATTCAACACTTAAGCAACATCCCATAAATTATAGTTCAACCTTAAATATTTCTAAAATTTTATCATTGTTTACATAATAAATGATAAAATATTTTTTGATGCTAAAAACCATTAGGGCGTAAGAGTAAATAATTGATTTTGATAATGAATAATTTTAATCCATTTAACTTTTGCACCTTTTTGTATTGTTTAATCAATGGGAAATTAATTTACCGAACCATAAATTTAAACTTAAAAATGTGTGCAAAATACAAGTTTATTTGTGTATGTTTTGGTGTAAGTATACATGCATGTGTATGTGTTTTTTGTCTATATGATACTCAATATATAAAGTAAATATGATACATTATGAATTTAACCCATTTGTCCTTTTATCAGTTTTTTGTTGTTTTATACTCTCTTCCTTTCATCCTTTCTCTCATACGCTTGATTTGTATATGTATTTGTATGTCTTTGTTTAATTTTTTTTGCATATGAGTGAGTCAGTGTGTGTTTGTATGTTTGTGTTGTGAAGTATGATGTCCTTTTTTTGGGTTGAGGTGTTATTCAATTTACCTTGTGTATACATGGTTGATATGGATACCATGGTATCCGGTCTTTTCGATGTCGTTTCACGTTGACTACTGCTGCTGTTGCCAGTGGCTAAAGCAACAGCATGATGTTGATAATGATACTGATGCAGCAGCTGTTGTTGTTGCTGTTGCTGTAGTTTTTTTGTATTTTGGCCATGAGTATAATAGGCCGCAACACCACCAGCACCACCTCGATATTGTTGTTGATGAAGATGTGCTGACGTTTGTCTAGTGGCAGCATGGCCCACTTGTGGTGGCGGCACGCTTGTCGTCTGCCACAAACTATCACTTAATTCCGATATTTTGATGAAATTTTAAAACCAACCTTTTGTTATTGTTTAATAAATTGTGATTTTGAATTTGAATGGAAATTTTTTTTCGAATATTATTCTTTCTATGAAAATCCCAGTTATTGATAAAGTTTGTTGTTAGTTTTTGTTTTCCTATTAATAATATAAATATTGGTTTTTTGATAACAAAAAATGCATATGCAGTGTAAACATTTACAAAAATATATACATACATGCATATTTACATGCATTTATGTGCACAGCCAGTGTCAATCATGGTGTGTTTGTGTATAAACATGCCATACTCGTTATATGTGAGTGAGTGTGATTTTAAAAGTGGGTGGCAGGCAGGCAGTGGCTTTGTTGAATGTGTTCACATTAGTGCGAATTTTAAAATTTTACAAAATGCTTATAAATTTTTATTAAATATAAGTTAATGTGAGAGTGCTTTATATGTTCTTTAATATGTGTTTATGCATAAAATTTTTATTATTTCAGTGAATCTATTTTTATTGAAATTTATCTGATGTTTAAAGGTGTATGTTTAATTGCTAAAAAATTGTAATGAATTTTATTTTTTTATTAAAATTAACAATTTAGGTTCAAATGATATTTAACCTGCGTAAAGAGGTAGTGTTATCGAGTTTAAGTTTTGAATTCATGGTTTCATCAGGGGCATAGCCAGGGGTCCGCAAAGTAGGACCTGAGGTATGTTAAATTTTTAAAACGATCCAATTTCTTCGTTTGTACATACATATACAGAAGTTTGTTGGTGTAGGTTTGGTATGTAATTGTATCGCACAAAATAGATTCTAAAGACGACAAATCGTATCTCTAAGGCCAATTGACATTATCATATCGGTTGTTAACACGATTATGGAACTTAATGCACAAAAGATCACATTTTTGATGACCCTTAAAAAGGGCGTTTATCGACGTTATTCACCGTTTTCTCGTCCCTCAGTCGCACAACCACATCACAAGGCTCTGTTGCTTCGGCATAAACATCTAGAGACGCATTTAGTAGTCCGAAATATTCAGCTAGTAGATCAGAATCCCTCTGTAAGTCTTAATAACTGTATGTAAAAGGAGGTAGGAACCAAAGTCAAACGAACCAAATAATTCCCCTTCAAGCTGGAAATTTCCCTGTAGTAAAAAGAATACTAAATCAGTACTAGTCTTTCGTTGGGCAAAGGAAACTTTTCCGAAAATTCACCAATTTACATCAGTTCCATTCTGAGATCATAAACAACGATCTACGGAATGACAAGAAACTACCGAATGTCAACGTGACATATACCGACGCCTTACTACCCGAAGAGTAAAAGATACACAATGGGTTCAGGAATCTAACAAAAGTGGCTCTGTCATATCTTCCTGTGATATCTGTTGAGACATCAACAGCACCGACGATCGAATCCTGATACATATATGGCATTTTGATATATCAGTTCTTAAACCAACATCCCAAAGGAACCTCAACCAGCCAGGATAAAGTCCGCCGTAGTAGTAGATTACCTGCCACTCTGGTTAGTCCCCATGTCAAATCATTTCAAGGAAAGGCCGATAATGCATTTGATCATCACCAGTTTATAGTCCCGCTATACTAGAGGCACCTCTTTTCCCCGGGAATTGCAATTACACCAGAATGAAAATTTTATCAAGGCAACATGGCCCCGGGGTGATTATTTCGATGAGTTACAAATGGAATGACAAAACAAGTAAGAAATTATAGTCGGGCGACGCCGACCATATACTAACCTACACCTGTTAAAAAAATAAAATGTGATTTAGTTTTCATAATAAAGCATTTAAGTTGAATTGTACCTTGCCTCAGATATACATAAGCCATTTATTGTTGAATAAAATTGTGGACATTTAAGTCAAATTTTGAAGGGGGCTTTGTATAGGGGCTGTGGTCAAATAAGACCCTATAATTATAAAATTCATGAGAGTCATAACGGCTAGAACTTGGTTTTGCAGCTTTTTGTCGAGATACGATTATATTAAACATAATTATGAACTTAAAAGCCCTATTCGTCGGGTTCAGTTGTATGGGGGCATGGTGAAATCATGGACCGTTGTTAACCATTTTCAATAGGTTTCGTTTCTCGTACCATTTCAATAGGCTTCGTTTCCCGTACCATAGAAGATCATGTGTCAAATTTTATTGAATTATTTTCAAAATTGCGACCTGTAGTTTGATTACAAGCTTTACATGGACGGACGGACAGACGGACATAGCTAAATCGACTCAGAAAATGAGTCTATGGTGGGTATAGGACCAATATTATTGTGCGTTACAAACATCAGCACAAACCCAATATACCCTCCCCACTAAAGTGGTGTTGGGTATAACTAATATAACCCTCATAATTTTTAAGGTGGGTGTTCAACTAGAGCTTAAATTGTTGAAGAAACTTATCAGTGCTGTGAAAATAATACTCTGTAGAATTTTGAATTTGATTTGCGAAAAAAAATGGTCAGAAAAAAAAATTTTTTTAAACAAATTGCTGATAAAATATATTTTTTAAAAACTTTACATTTAGTTGCAATCAAACCATTCAATTGTAAAATTGTGAAATAAAAATGCAGAATTTAATAAAATTTTTCACAATTTATGTACTTCTGTTTACAGTATTGAGAAAAGCCTCAGCTGACATTCCCACTTTGGAGGTAAATTTTATAAATTAAAGACAGCAAACCCAAAATGTCTGATATTTTTCTTTCAGCAGAATAATTATGAGTATAATTCAATGGTGACTATGGCTTTATTTAATAAATTAAATATGTTGATAAATGAAACACAAAAGTTTAATGAACAATTTAAAAATTTTAACAAAAGGTATATAAAGAATTCACAATTTTCAATGGAATAAAAAATATTTTATCATTTGCAGATTACAATCTCTCGAAAATATAAGAAAATTCAATCTGCAGAACTTTAAAACAGAAATACGAGAACTGCTAAAGCAAAACTATTTGAAAATGGAAAATTCCTTGTGGCAAATGAATGAGAAAGTATTGGAAAAGTAATTATGAAAAAACACATAGAAATTTATAATTAACTCTCATTTACTTTAGCTTTGAATTGCAGAATAAGACACTAAAAAATTTGACCACAGATGTTGGAGTTCTCAAAAATTTTGATGCCGCTTCTTTAAAACAAAATCACAATTGGCAAACTATTCTACGACGACAAGATGGTTCTGAGAATTTCAATCGTACTTGGAATGAATATAAAACTGGTTTTGGTCAGAAAAATGGAGAATTTTTCATTGGCCTTGAGAAATTACATATCATGACCATGTATTCCGAACCTCAAGAACTCTTGATTATTTTACAGGATTTCGCTAATCAAACACGTTATGCCAAGTACAATGATTTTTTAATAGGCAGTGAAAATGAAAAATATACAATTAAAAAATTAGGAAAATTCTATGGTGATGCCAAGGATTCATTTTCACAACATTTAAATTATGCTTTTTCCACCTACGATCAGGATAATGCTAATGCCACAATGTCCCATTGTGCAAAAGAGTATCCAGGTGGTTGGTGGTTTTCGAGTTGTTTCTATTCGTAAGTCCTCTTTTATGTTTATTTTGAAGTAAATAATTTAAATATTTTATTAATTACAGCCATTTAACTGGTCCCTATTTACGTCATTCTCAGATTGATAAAAAGAAAGAGCAGGGTATAGTTTGGTATGCATGGCATGGTGTGAATTATTCATTGAAATACGTAGAAATGTTGATAAGACCAAAATATGTTTGTAGGGACGAAGATTACTACTTGTATTTAATTTAATAAAAATATTTTTTATTTTTTCCAAGAAATACAAACAATTTTATCGCAAACTTATAAAACAGGTCCGGTATTGTATAAATAAATAATAATGAAGAAATAATTGGTGGTGTCGAATTTTTTGTGCAGGTTATGAATAATTTGGGTGATATTTCGAAAGGGACATTTAATAAGGGTTTATATTAATTAAGTGTTAAGTACTTCCGATGACCTTAAACATTTTTAGAGAATTCGGTTTGTATAACATTAACACGTCTAGTTTAAAATTTAGTCTAATATCTAGTCTAATATCTAGTCTATAGTCTAGTCTAGTCTATAGTCTAGTCTATAGTCTAGTCCCCCTATAGTCTATAGTCTAGTCTATAGTCTAGTCTAGAGTCTAGTCCTATAGTCTAGTCTATAGTCTAGTCTATAGTCTAGTCTATAGTCTAGTCTATAGTCTAGTCTATAGTCTAGTCTATAGTCTAGTCTATAGTCTAGTCTATAGTCTAGTCTATAGTCTAGTCTATAGTCTAGTCTATAGTCTAGTCTATAGTCTAGTCTATAGTCTAGTCTATAGTCTAGTCTATAGTTCTAGTCTATAGTCTAGTCTATAGTCTAGTCTATAGTCTAGTCTATAGTCTAGTCTATAGTCTAGTCTATAGTCTAGTCTATAGTCTAGTCTATAGTCTAGTCTATAGTCTAGTCTATAGTCTAGTCTATAGTCTAGTCTATAGTCTAGTCTATAGTCTAGTCTATAGTCTAGTCTATAGTCTAGTCTATAGTCTAGTCTATAGTCTAGTCTATAGTCTAGTCTATAGTCTAGTCTCTATAGTCTAGTCTATAGTCTAGTCTAGTCTATAGTCTAGTCTATAGTCTAGTCTATAGTCTAGTCTATAGTCTAGTCTATAGTCTAGTCTATAGTCTAGTCTATAGTCTAGTCTATAGTCTAGTCTATAGTCTAGTCTATAGTCTAGTCTATAGTCTAGTCTATAGTCTAGTCTATAGTCTAGTCTATAGTCTAGTCTATAGTCTAGTCTATAGTCTAGTCTATAGTCTAGTCTATAGTCTAGTCTATAGTCTAGTCTATAGTCTAGTCTATAGTCTAGTCTATAGTCTAGTCTATAGTCTAGTCTATAGTCTAGTCTATAGTCTAGTCTATAGTCTAGTCTATAGTCTAGTCTATAGTCTAGTCTATAGTCTAGTCTATAGTCTAGTCTATAGTCTAGTCTATAGTCTAGTCTATAGTCTAGTCTATAGTCTAGTCTATAGTCTAGTCTATAGTCTAGTCTATAGTCTAGTATATAGTCTAGTCTATAGTCTAGTCTATAGTCTAGTCTCTAGTCTAGTCTATAGTCTAGTCTATAGTCTAGTCTCTAGTCTAGTCTATAGTCTAGTCTATAGTCTAGTCTATAGTCTAGTCTATAGTCTAGTCTATAGTCTAGTCTATAGTCCTAGTCTATAGTCTAGTCCTATAGTCTAGTCTATATTCCTAGTCTATTAGTCTAGTCTATAGTCTAGTCTATAGTCTAGTCTATAGTCTAGTCTATAGTCTAGTCTATAGTCTAGTCTATAGTCTAGTCTATAGTCTAGTCTATAGTCTAGTCTATAGTCTAGTCTATAGTCTAGTCTATAGTCTAGTCTATAGTCTAGTCTATAGTCTAGTCTATAGTCTAGTCTATTAGTCTAGTCTATAGTCTAGTCTATAGTCTAGTCTATAGTCTAGTCTATAGTCTAGTCTATAGTCTAGTCTATAGTCTAGTCTATAGTCTAGTCTATAGTCTAGTCTATAGTCTAGTCTATAGTCTAGTCTGTAGTCTAGTCTATAGTCCTACGTAGTCTAGTCTATAGTCTAGTCTATAGTCTAGTCTATAGTCTAGTCTATAGTCTAGTCTATAGTCTAGTCTATAGTCTAGTCTATAGTCTAGTCTATAGTCTAGTCTATAGTCTAGTCTATAGTCTAGTCTATAGTCTAATCTATAGTCTAATCTATAGTCTAGTCTATAGTCTAGTCTATAGTCTAGTCTATAGTCTAGTCTATAGTCTAGTCTATAGTCTAGTCTATAGTCTAGTCTATAGCCTAGTCTATAGCCTAGTCTATAGTCTAGTCTATAGTCTAGTCTATAGTCTAGTCTATAGTCTAGTCTATAGCCTAGTCTATAGTCTAGTCTATAGTCTAGTCTATAGTCTAGTCTATAGTCTAGTCTATAGCCTAGTCTATAGTCTAGTCTATAGTCTAGTCTATAACTAGTCTATAGTCTAGTCTATAGTCTAGTCTATAACCTAGTCTATAATCTAGTCTATAATCTAGTCTATAGTCTAGTCTATAGTCTAGTCTATAACCTAGTCTATAATCTAGTCTATAGTCTAGTCTATAGTCTAGTCTATAGTCTAGTCTATAGTCTAGTCTATAGTCTAGTCTATAGTCTAGTCTATAGTCTAGTCTATAGTCTAGTCTATAGTCTAGTCTATAGTCTAGTCTATAGTCTAGTCTATAGTCTAGTCTATAGTCTAGTCTATAGTCTAGTCTATAGTCTAGTCTATAGTCTAGTCTATAGTCTAGTCTATAGTCTAGTCTATAGTCTAGTCTATAGTCTAGTCTATAGTCTAGTCTATAGTCTAGTCTAGTATACAGACTTCGTGTACAAAACAATTTTGTAAATGCAAATTTTTAAAATGCCGATATTTATACCAGTTAAGGATTCAGTAAATAAATCATTCTAATCGGAGAGTGTAAAGAGCTTAAGCATCTTATTTTAACAAAAACTATAAGTATATAGTTAAAGACGATATCCTTGTAATATCTAATATAAAAAATGCAAAAACAACTATTTTCCATAATATAATTAAAATGTTATATTATTATTCTCTTCGTAGGTATAAATATATGAGAATAATATAAATTCCATACATACCATAGTAAATGGATTATGAATACATACATACATATGTATATGTATGTTTTCTTTATTTAAAATTTTAATTTAGTGCAAGTAAGATGAAAGACAGTTAAATAGTATCCTTCCATCCATACATATTGTATATAAAATAAAATCACAGTGATTAAAAGTTTGGTTTTTACACCACAATCTGGGTCAGGTTATCGTCAACTACTATAAAAACAACAAAAATTACTTAAGGCTTTAGAGCTCAAGGGAATATCATCAACACACACACATAACATCATTCATGCTTTCATATCTTTTTTTTTATTTTACAACATTCATAGCTTTTTTGTTTATTTTCTTTTTTAATTCTTTTTTGCAATTGTAACGAAGGATGTTTTGACGCTGGTGTTTATTTGTAACATTTAATTTAATGAAATATTTCCGAGTCTTTTCTAAAATTGCAAAATAATTTAATGCCAGAGCAATGGTGTTAGTTACATATGCAGCCTTTCGCCATAGTGGGGAAAGTATTTTATGTGTTTATATGGAAATACACTTAGTCGGCCTTGTCCTGTTATATAATATCCTACTCCAGACCTCAAAAAGGAGAATTAGTATGGCCTATAGGAACAATTACGACTCGATTTTCAAAATTCGATAAAGTATTTTGTTATCTAAACCGGTTTTTTGTGATAGAAAGGAAATAGCTTGCAACTTTGCGTTAGAATTGTTGGATGTCTTGGAATTTGGATTAGGAGTTCATAGAAACCATTTACCGAAATTGACAGAATGATTGATAGAAAAAAAAATAACTATAACATTACTCATTTCGCGGTTGAGTGCATGTTGATAAGATGTGTAGCAATTAAGTTGATTGTTATGCCTATTAATTTGTCTTGTAATTAGTAGTGATGTTATTAATTAGCAATGATTAATGATATAATATCCGCTAGGACTAATTAAAGCTTTCTGTTCATAAATGTATTTCTGAGAATTTATAGCATTAATTAATGATTTTACTTTGCTAATAGCATTTGATTTACTAATAGTAGATTGAATATTCAATGATGAATTTTTTATATTTTTAAAATTAAGTAAATCTTTAAATAATAAAATTTTTAAATTTCTAAAAAAATAGCTTTTAATGTCATTTTGTATTTAATTGCATTTACTTTTTTCGAGTAATAAAATTTTCTTTAATGCTGTTTTACACCATCAATCCTCACGCCTTTTTGTTTCTAATCCCACTGTTTTTTTTTTCTCTCTCTCTCTCTCTGACCAATGCTTTCTCACATAAAGCAACCATTAAAACCAAATTTTCAAAGCAAAACCATTTTGTTTTTTTTTTTCTCTAAATATAAATTGTGTAATTTTATGCATTTTATTTTACCAAACCTTTTTTGTTTACAGTTATTTAATTATTTTTGTATACGAAAAAAAAACCACAACCACAAAAAACAACATTTCTAAAAGATTAAAGTAAAACTGAATAAAAAAATTGTGCTCATAAAAACAAGTTTTAAATTAACTTGAGTTTTGATACAAAATTAAAAGCAAAATATATGTAAGTTTTTTTTTTCAATTGAGGAAAACAAAAACTGACAAAATTATTTACTGATTTTTTTTCGAAAATCCACCACTTTTCTCCGAAACTATAATAGAAGTGTTGGAGTTAGAATTAAGGCTAGATTTTTGGCTTGAAATAGGATTTTTCATTTGAAATATGATTAACGATTTTAGGTTTTCCTACAGTTTTGGCTAAAATATCGTGTAAGTTTAATAATGTAGGGTATAATAATACGTATACGTTATGTATATATTACGTATACGTAATATTTTTTTCATATTATGTATAGATAATAGACGTTTTATATATCAATAGATTGAAAACTAACTCCACTTTTTAAAAATTTGGAAATTTTTTAGAACGAAAATCATCTTACGAAAATCACTTCAGTACACAGAATTCTATTCGGTGTAGTTGTCATTTCGAAAATGAAATTTGAGTTTGTTAAAAAACCCTAACTTTTGAAAAGATGAGAAATTATTTTGTTATTGGAAATTACATCTGTCTGTATGTATTAGCAAATCAGATGCTCTCAACGATATATAAAATCATTAATTGAATTCATATTTTTTCATACATACTGCAAATTAACAGAAATACATTTATCTTTAAATTGGGATTAGAGTG